CCATTTTGTCAAGTCTACAGAAAACAAATAATCTTTTCTTATTTTCCTGGTTAAACCTACTTGAGAGGAAGGAAGTAGCCTAAATTAGGTGAGAGACATGGAGCCAAGGCAGGAGGCATTGGGGGAAAGATGCCTATGGGGTCTATATGGTGATGTTCTATGTGGAGGAAAACAGCCCACTATCTACACCTTGCTGTCTCTTTAGGTGATTAGGAAGAGTCTCTCTTTTGTGTAAGTGAGAAAAAAAGTTTCATTTATCAGTTTAAATAGTCAGCTTCTTAGAATAACTCTAAGAAAATAAGCGGTTATATTGTTGGTTCAAACCTTGCTGGGAGTCCTATAATCAGAGATGCTGAGTTAATGGATCTGGGATGAAACTTCATACCAGGATTCTTTAAAGCTCCTCAGCTAATATGTAGCTAATACTGAGAATTGCTGCTGTAAAATTTCACTGATCCAGCAGTAAGCATTGGTCTAGGTTTTACCATTTTGAGATCTGCAACTCAGATGTTACTTAATGCATAGTGAAAATATCTATAGAATCTTCTTTAATTGCCTTAAGCAAGTATTTACAAAATCTGATTTATTGAGCAAAATCCTACAGAAGAAAGTACTCATTTAGGGACTGGAGAAAGAATGTGGATATTTAAATTATGGAAGAAAAAGAAAAGAAAAAGAAGCCCTTACCTTAGTATAGTGAATACAATGAGGATGTTGCCAACTAGTCCTGTGAAACAGATAATCCCAATCATGGAAGGGAGGATGACAGTATCCACAACACTGGGGGTCTGATAAACAAATTCTTTATTCTGGGATTTGTTTGAAAGTTCAGTAGAGGTGTTCCAACAAAATGAGTGAAATGAATTCATGTCCATGGACTTCCAATGATTAAAGCTGTGAAATAAGAAGAAGTAATTTACTTAATAAGAACTCCAATATAGATTTCCTTCATCTAATTCAAAAAGTATTTATTAGGGATTACTTTGTACCAAGCATAGTATTCCATGATTAAGTATAGCATGATTGGTCTCTGTTAATAATGATCTTACCGATTACCAGAAGAGATAGGTCAATAGCAAATTACAGAAGATCATGATAGCTCAACTCAGGGCACTAATGAGACCACATGTACTCTACAGGCTGGGAGGTTGTGGAGAACAAAAAGAGTAGGTGATGTGCTGCTGTTTCAGAGGACCCATAGTACCAACGAGAGACGCCAAGGGAAAAAGAGAGTATGAGCTCCAGATAAAAAGAAATTGACAAATTTCTCTAATTCAGAATCTAGACAAGTCCAGAGAAGACACAATATCCACAAAAATGGTTTAAGAAGTTCCCAGAATCTGTAGTTGTGCTGCTTAATGAAAGTATTTCCCTATCTGATGCAATTCTGTAAAGACTGTATTTTTAAAATATGTAGATACCAATGCAAAGTTACTAGAAATGCAAAAAGATACAGAGAAAAGTGCCCCAAAGAAGTGTATAAGCTGTTGAAAAATTCAAAATAAACATCATAAATGTGCCTAATGAGCTTATGAAAACACTATCAGAACACAAAAAGAATTTTAACAAAGAGATAGAAATGGTAAAAGAACTAAACATAA